ACAGTTAGAGCAAAATGCAGCAGTTCTGCCTGCACAGTGTTATCTGCTGTGAATGTAACAGCAAATACAAACTTCCAGTGTAAATTGTTAAAAAATGTACATTGTTGATTGTAATTGCTTTAGCAGAGTGATAAGAAAAGGTGATCTGTGATCTCTGCAAAGATCTACAAACCCACTGTGGCTGAAGTTTAGCAAAGTGCTTCCAAGAGCAAGGGCCAACACCTTCACACTTGAAGTGTGACTGCCAGCACTGCTGAGCCTGGACTAATTTGAAAACGTAGTCCTAAAGCTTGTCAGTGGAATAGTTGCTTAATTGCTTAAAGGCTTTTGAAAATACCCAGAGGAAACGGCCACTTTATTTTCACACACGGTCAGAATGTAATAACCAGTGCCTGTAGAGTGTCCTAACAGAGGTAACACAAACAGTAATGTTTTACTTATGCATTAATCATGTTGTAGGTTGGTGTTTTGAGAATGACCGATTTGTTTTGTTAAAGAACCTCATAGCACAGCTGAGCTGCAACCCCTGACCAACAGTGTGAGAATGACATCCTTCCTGATTCCAGGGGCAAGGGACCACCAGAGAGTGAACCAAAAATGCCACTGCAGGAACAAGAAGTGTTAGAATGAAAGGCTGCAGTAGCTGGTTTGAGTGCAGTAAGGGAAATGGGATATCAGAGGTTATTTTATAATGGCTAACTGGCCCTGAGGTAGGGGCTGCCTTTGCAAAGGACACAATTCCATCAGTGCAGAAGCCTGAGCCCTTGAAAGGATAAAGTAACGTTTTCTGCAGCTTTCTCTCACCTTTCAGGTTTGACTCATGCACTTTTCCCCCTCCTATATGGCTCACTGAAAAGCTGTAAATCTGACCAGGTTCCTGTGGTACAGGCTGCAAAAACAACTAGATATGGTCAAATGATAACCAGAGAAAAAAAAAACAGGCCCCAAACTACTGGCTAAAGCAAATCTGGTGAGTTATTACAAGTGCTGAGATATGATACTGAGTTTCCATACTTGGAAAAAATAAAACAGGCAAGAATTGCTTGTTTGGCAATAATTGAAGTTTCCCCCCTCCTGTGTGTCCAGCTCTTCCCACACAACCCTGCCATGAGTTTTAAATGCACGCCAAGTTTAGTACTGGAAAAATTCACACTACCACAGACAACTGCTGATTAAACATTATGAAAACATAACCAGCCATATTCCTCACCTAACCCTGGGCTCCCAACTTCTCAGTTCAGCCATTTTCCCTCCTATACAACCCTTAGCTGCAAAAATAAAGGGTGAAGGTACCTTTGAAACCCCATTGTTCCTTAAGGGAATCTGCAGGTTTTAATCAAAACCCAGGTTCTGCTCCTCAGCCCTGTGTGCACAGAGAGGGGAAGGCACACAGCTTTCCTCTGAGCACTTCTCTGCCTGTCACTTCTCAAACTCAGCCACAGGTGCACCTGCTAAAATTCATGGGAAAAGAGAAATAGATGAACTAAAAAGCAGTGCCAACAAAATCTTCACAAATAACTGGTGTCATTTCTGTCATAAACATTAATTATGTCTTCTAGATTTAGGCTTTTAGGAGCATGCATTTTGTCTGCTGCCCCCAGTCAACTAAGAGAAAAGGTGAAATAGAACTGGAAGTGAAATTATTTATATTGCACCTCCAACACATTATCAGCCTGCAGCTGAGACTCCAACAAAATCAAAGAGTAACACTACAAAACTACCCAATTATTATGGGGTTTTGATTGGGTGTTAGTGGTTGTTTTTTTTTAAATTTCTGTGTTTCTCCATTTGTTTTTCTTTTCAATGCTACATTAGAATATAGCTGGCAATTCAAGGCAATAATGCTATTACACTAAACAATTCACTGCTGTGTGCAGTCATATGAAGAATACTCTTAACCTGCTCAAAGAAAACATTTTCAAGTGAAAGACTAGTAAGTCAGGGGTGTGAATACAACCTAAAACATTTTTATCAAAACTATAAAATACACAAACACTTTAGCAAAAACATTTTTAGACAGAGCAGAAAGCATCACTTACCTCATGCTGAATTGGTCAATTTGATGAATGAGGCACAGTACTTAACACACAAGTTTAAACAGGTTGAGAAGTATTTTTAATGGAATTACAGACTTCCTTAGAATCAATCCTTTTGGACTTGCTTGGCAGCAGTCTGTCAGAGGATCATTATGCAGCTTACACTGTCCCTGCTTTATGCTGTGATCTGTAATTTTGGCTAGACTTCATTCTCCACCACCAAAAGTGATATTCATGACACAAGGTGACCTGAAGGACGCTCAGTAACACGAGCTGTCAAACACATGAAGGAAAATGGAGCTTTGCAGACACACCCCTAAATAATACTCAAAATGAGGCTAAGAAAACCAAGTTGACAGAATGTACTTCAAACACTGAATTTATTACAAAGGTGCATAGAGTTTATGCCATTTGGTTTGAATACTTATGTTTAACCTACAAACAACATACAAAGCGAGGTTACAGTATGTAACAAAAGCAACAATGATTATCTAGTAAATTCAATATTCTACTGTCTTTAATTTCACAAAACATTTCTGAAACAAAGGCACTTACAGAATTAAAAAAAAAAAAAAAGATATATCAACATTTAAAGTCTTAGCTCCTTTCCTCCTCCCTACAGCACTGTGGAGAACAAGTGGGACATGAAGGCAACAGCTACTGGGACTGACACACCAGCATTGCTTCAACTAAAAACTTCTGAATCATCTCCATCTTTTCTGTAACCATCCCATTCTCTTCAGTACTTGAAAACAAACTTCAACAAGGCTGCAGGGCAAGAACCAAATAAAATTTGGTCCTACACCTCATTGTTAATGATGATTAATGCACTAACAGTAAGAAATTAATCATAATCTGAATTATTTTCAACTGGACCATTTTCTTCTTTCAGTAAGTTTTGTAACTGAATTAGTAATAGTATTGCTAAGGCAGTTCCTTGTACATGAATGACTGATCTCTTCACTCGTACATAGCCATCATTTGCACATGTCCACTGATGAAAGGTGTCAATTTTCAGCTCCTTAACCCTACCCCTCATCTCCCACCACCCCACACTGAGCAGTGGCAATTCAGGGCCATCTGTTTGGTCTGTACAACTTCCCTCAAAAAACCTTGTATTTGGGAATGTCTCTTACTGCTGCCTCCTTACTTTCCTCCCATCTCCTCAGGGATGATGACTGAGCCATCCTGCCATGAAACTGCAGATTTCCCTCTCACAACCCAAACATGACACTGTGACTGACATGAGCTGCTCCCTTTGTCACACCTGGGGGACAGAAGAGCAGGGCACAGTGACCACCTGAGGAAGCCCCACACTGGATACCTGTGCTCTCCCTGGCCTGGCAGCACACAGACTAACAAAGGTGCTGGGACAGTCTCTGTCCTCCTCCTCCATCAATAAGCACCACGGGTAGGATCTGTAACACAGGATTTATTTCTGCTCAGTGCCCTCCTACAGAAACATTCCAGATTTCTAAGGCAATACTTCCTCCTCCATACAGGAAACACCATCCTTTTTTGGTTGGCCAAACATGACACTGTGACTGCCACGAGCTGCTCCCTTTGTCACACCAGGTGGGGGACAGGAAGAGCAGGGCACAGTGACCACCTGAGGAAGCCCCACACTGGATACCTGTGCTCTCCCTGGCCTGGCAGCACACAGACTAACAAAGGTGCTGGGACAGTCTCTGTCCTCCTCCTCCATCAATAAGCACCACGGGTAGGATCTGTAACACAGGATTTATTTCTGCTCAGTGCCCTCCCACAGAAACATTCCAGATTTCTAAGGCAATACTTCCTCCTCCATACAGGAAACACCATCCTTTTTTGGTTGGTCCATGTAACATCTGACAGTGTAATGAAGTTTTGTCCAATTCCTCAGCTGACACAGCAGGAAAGAGGAACACAGACACAGGATACACAGATAAATGCTCTGTAAGTGCCTCTTGGCACCATTTAATGCTATTGACTTCAACACGCAGAGAGGTGTAACAGAGGGGCACAGGTTGTCATGAACCCCAGTGTAAAAACTTTAAACAAGTTTCTTCTGAAATGCCCTGAAAACTTTCTTTAAAAAAAAATCTGAATAATCCAGAAATAGACTCAAAAAATCAGAAAGGGGAACAAGGCTGCCTTTGACAACAGCAACTTCCACCCACTCTGTGAGGTAAAACAATGCCACCAAACAATAATACACCCAAATGTAGAATGACAGGACAAATGGCTCAATGGCCTTTCTAAAAAAGTAAAATCAGTGTAAAAGATATGTTAAAATTATTTCAGTGATTATGTCACAGTGATACATGCAAATAACTACATAGTTCTGTGAGGATTAACAACAAATTGCATTTCAACATTGGAAAAGACAGAATTGTTGAGGACAGTGAAAAAACCCCCACCTTATTTGTTTGAGCAATGAAAGACTGATAAAGCCTAAAACCTAAGTAGTGTTAACAGTCACGAGGATGTCTCAGGATGTTTCATGACTCAAAGCATTACCTTCTTAAAAATACATTGCCTGCCTGTGACCAAATCCTTCCTTTCCCCAACTTCTCATTCTCTGCTCAGCTTTATGGGAATACTAAAACAAAAGGGAGGCTAATGCTCACTGTGGCCCCTCACCCAGCACACTGCTACTCCAATGCAGGATTTATAAAGGTCTGTAATTCTTAGGTTCCTGCCACCTACAGGTCCCACTAGAGACAGTGGAAAAAACCTGACCATTTGAAAACCCCAATCTTCTAGTGACATCCCATCCCTCCTGTAAAGGAATTCCTTCTCTGGGATGAGGCAGGACTGAATGCTGCCAAGGTACCTCTGTTAACGTGTGATTAAGGGGCTGATTTTAATTCTAAACTCATCAACAACACATGACTGAAGTAAGCTTATCCAATACTACCAGAACAAGAAATACTCATCCAACAATTTTTATGGAGAATTTTCAGGGTTTCAGCATTTGATCTATTTGGTCCTTTAAGTGGCAGAGAGTCTGTTGATTTTTAGCTATAACACCCAATGGAGGCACAGTTTATAAACCTTAAAATTGGGACAGAAAACAAGGAAATAACCAACTCATGCTATTTAGAACTAGTTCAAAGGCAATTAAACATGGTTTACTACCTCTTATCAAAGGTAAAGGTGTTGCAAAAAAAGGAAAATTCCCTTTTGAATGATAAATGAAATGTATTAAATGGTAGCTTACCTAACAATAGTAGCTTCAAAACAGGCAGAACTTACATAACATGTATCAGGTAGTTTCTTAGAGGTTAAGATTTTACATTTGAATACTGTGCAAAAGATTGCTACAGCTTTGGGTATCTGACGATGCTCATATTAGACCATTCCTCTCAAAATTATTGCACAGCAAATGGTATTGTGGTTCTGTATTTCTGAAATACTCTTTCTTCTCATTACTCTCATTGTATCTAGAGCAAAATCTCTTTTTGTATTTGCTTGAGGTATAAATTAACTTCTGCAAGAAAAATACTCCTTCCTTGGAGCATTAAAAAGAAGAAGATAATGAACTGATTTTCACTCTACTTTAACAAAAGATTGTTGTCTTCCAGAAAAATATAGTACAGGTGAATGGTGTAAACAGAACAAATTATATTTTTAAAAGTTTTGTATGCAGAAGCACAGTAGAAGCTTTTCAATAGGTGGGCTTCTGAGGATCCATGTAAGCAGGGTTGTAAGGGGGCTGGGTGGGGTAAGGGGCTCCAGCACCAGCTGCAAAAGCAAAACAAAAGAAAAAAAAGATTTGTAAAATGTACATTCTGAACTCCACACATAAAACAGCAATTTCTGTTTTGAGCACACAGTTAAGAGGTTCAACTTAGCCAGTATCTTAATTGGACTTGAAAACAACTTGTCATAAAACATCTGCATTTCAGAAGCAAGAGCACAAAAACTTTTGTTCTTGTTGGCTTTGGGGCTTTTTTGATTCTGAGTGTAGATGAGCCGCCTTTAGGGGAGAATCTAGTCTAAAAAAAAAGGAACAGATCTAGCTCAAAAAAAGAGCCAGTGGAAGTAAGGGGTGCACATACAAGAGGATATACATGACAGTGTGCTGAGGAAAAAAAAAAAAGTCTAGAGAAATCATATTAGGATTCCTTCAGGGAAAATGCTTTCCTGTGAAGTGTCAAAAAATTAATTAAGGAAGTAAAATAAAAGAGAAAAAATACCCCACCACTACTGAGCACATAAAAGAGTTTGACTTATATACCAGATGTGCATCCCTTGGAATAATTCTCATTTTCTACTGCTCTGAGAAAAGCTGCTCTCAAGGGGCACCTCCATTTTCAGCTCTGTTAAACAGCACAAGTTTGTTCAAGTAGCACCTGATCAGATCCCTGGAAAGTGCAAGTGTGGTTATCTTCTGCTGATCTTGTAAAGTGAGTGGGGTTGGCTCCTGTGTGGCAGAGCAGGTATTCTCCCCTGGCACGTGACCTCATTAACAGCCTGCTCCTTGCTTAACAGGCAGGAGAAATGAAGGAAAGAACTCTCACTGTGAGGCATTTTCAGCTGCCAACATGGAAAGTGCTTTGGTATGTTCCCAGGAAAAAAAAAAAACAACAACAAAAAAACCCCAAAACAATGTTTTAAAATTAACAAACCAGCAACAGCCTGAGAAACCAGAGGCAGGAGAAGTGAAATGACTAATTTCTTGGCTCCCTCATATGAAAAAGATGAAACCAAAACACTTTGGCATAATCCTGTAAAACCCACAGCTTCTTTGACATTTATAACAGAAAAATAGAGTCAACAGTCCTGCCAAGTCAGTGTTTTCACATGTGGGGCTGGTTTGCACATTATTAATGTACAATTTCTAACTGTTTATAAATCTTTCACACCATGAAAAGCCATCTTATACCCCAAGTTGTCCTGGAAGTACTTTCTAAGGGCATTATCTACTAGTCAGGACTACACTTTGTTACTTAAAAGGATGACAAGTGAGGTTTGTACGAGAACTTGAAGATCCTACAGGTAACAGCCTAGTTTTGGCCCCTCTGAGCAGTCTGGAGCCAATTGTTCAGAGAACAGCTATTACCAGCAGAAGTGGAAATTAGTCATTTCAACAATAAGGCTGCAGGAAAACAATGCTGTGAAAGAAGGAAAGCTGAAGAAAAAAGATTCTGATAATTCTAACTGCAAGTTGTTAACAGACTTCTTCCAACCCCTTTGTCATGGGCAGGGACACTTTCCATGAGACCAGGCTGTTCAGGACTCCATCCAAACTGGCCTTGAACACTTTTAGAGATGTGTCCATAGCTTCTCTGGCCAATTTGTGCCAGGGCCTCACAAACCCCACAGTACACAATTTTTTCCTAATAACTAATCTAATAACTAGATTTTATATATGTATGTATATAGACAGATAGATACTTATAAATATATATAATTATATATTATTACCTATAAATATATATATTATATATATTATTATTATTATATATATTTGCTGTCCTTTAGTCTGAATCTTGCTGTCCTTTAGTTTGAATCTATTCCCTAAACCTAAACTTGCTGTCCTTTAGTTTGAATCTTGCTGTCCTTTAGTTTGAATCTATTCCCTAAACCTAAACTCACAATTTTTTCCTAATAACTAATCTAATAACTAGATTTTATATATGTATGTATATAGACAGATAGATACTTATAAATATATATAATTATATATTATTACCTATAAATATATATATATTATATATAGATATATTATTATTATATATTTGCTGTCCTTTAGTTTGAATCTATTCCCTAAACCTAAACTTGCTGTCCTTTAGTTTGAATCTATTCCCTAAACCTAAACTTGCTGTCCTTTAGTTTGAATCTATTCCCTAAACCTAAACTTGCTGTCCTTTAGTTTGAATCGATTCCCCCTTGTCCTGTCACTACATGTTCTTAGACCTCGCAGATATTAGATTAAAAAGGGAATGTGGAATCATCCAACTCATGTATATGTATATATGTATGTATGTATGTTAATTGACTTTGATTTTAATATTAAATGTCAGCTGAATTAGTAAAACGTTCTACTGGATCTGCTGACAGTCCCACACATTGCCAAACTTTGCCACACAGCTCCAGCTCACACCTCCTCTGGCAGTGCTTGACACAGAAACAGTGAGAGGGAAATTTCCACCAGGGTGAGTAACAGCATCCAGCACAACCTGAGTTTTACAAAACTTGTTTCCACTTGTATTAACACAGCCAACAGACAACAATAAATGTAAATAACATAAGATTTTCTCCAGAGCAGGTGTCTCTTAGCTGCTCAGGAGATGAAGAAGCACTTGGTGCTGCCTTACCTGCCACGGTCTCATGGTAAGCTGGGGGTCCTGCTGGCTGCGTGGGGTACGGGGGAGGGTACTGGGCAGGGTAGGGAGCCACTGGCATCCCCGGCTGGGGCTGCACAGCCACGGGCTGGTAGCCTTGGTATGGAGCTGCTGGGTAGCTGGGTGGCATTGCTGGCTGCTGGGGATAGGCAGAGTGAACCACCGTCGTGGTGGCAGTGGTCACCACAGCTACAGCGAGGAAAAGGAACATGGTTAGTGCTGCTGGTCCGAAAAGAAAACCCCCACCAATTCCCAGACTCCCCACATGGTGGGATGGAAGAGAACTCCTAAATGCTCAGAAAATACTCCAAAACATCTCTCTCCAACTTCACATTCTGAAGCTGCATAAATGTTTGTTTTTAATATTTAGGTACTGCAACTTCTGAGCAGAGTATTTTCACCTCTTACAGGAATACAATTTTGCAGGAGGGATAAAAAAAAATCCTCTTCAAAGATGTGAAAAAGAAAATAAATCAAGAGCTACTTACGGCGTGGTCTTCGACATGCTTTGTACAGACAGCAACAGGAACAGGTGAGGCACAGAATAATAGTAACGACAATCACTGCAAAAACAGTAACTCCAATGGCAATGAGGGTTCCAAAACTGCAAGACAGAGACCACCACAACTGGTAAGAGTCGCTCCTTAACCAAACCTGCAGCAAACACATTGCTCCACCTCCAATCTCTCATTACTTATTGGACTAAGAAACAACTGTGCAAGGCAGTGCTGCAGGAGGTCAGGTCTGCTAAGGCAGGGGAAGCTGAACCACCCCTTACAAGGGGTCTTTGGACCCTCTCATTTCAGTCTGACTGTGACTGTTGTTGTTGTAGTGTGAACACACAGGCTCAGAGCAAGCCCACAATGAAGCACCCCACCTTTCAGGGTGACAGCAAGTTCTTCCCACATTCCCTAAGACCTCCCAGTCCCAAACTCAAGACAATCTCAGCCCTGAACAGGTTCCTTGGCCCCTGTAAACAGGTATTTTAGAACCAATGTTACAGGAAGAACTGAAATCCTGACTTTTTTGCAACAGTAAGTATGCCAGGCTACATTATGGGATACAGAAACACTGCCTAAAACTCCCAAATGTGTTATGGGAAGACCAGACATTACAACAGCTTTGACTTCTGTGATGAGCACCAAATGATGGAGGCAGACAAAACCAGTTACTTCTCAAAGCTTTACAAGTTCTATTTACCACAGGGGAGAAAAGATATCACAGCAAAAACAGTGACAATTCCCTTTAAAGTGCTAAATGAAATGATCTGTTTCCTACTGTCTGAAATCAATAAAGCCCATCTTCCATGGAAGCCAAAGTCTCCAGCATTCTTATTTCTTAGAAAACACACCATGCATCAGTTTTGGGAACAATTGCAGGAAGTCAGTTTTAAAGAACAATTAGCCCAAAAGTAAAGACTAGAGAGGCCATTTTCACATCCATCCTGTTTTTGTTTGTTGGTAGATTTTGGCTACAGAGTTCTTTGGGTTTTTTTCCCCTGCTCAGTTTCCTGTTAACAGCTTTAACCAAAAAAAAAACAATTTGTTGGTAGATTTTGGCGACACAGTTCTTTGGGTTTTTTCCCCTGCTCAGTTTCCTGTTAACAGCTTTAACCAAAAAAAACATCACCATAGCATCCAGCAATTTTCACTTGGCTACCAAACAACCACCAAATGTGAAAACTGCATTTGAGTATCAGTGACCCTGGAAGGTTAAATCACTGACAAAAAGAACAGCAAGATGCTTTACCCTAGCCCAAATTTCAAAGACCTCACCTCAGTGTCTTCTAGAGCAACTTAACCCTTAGTAAGCTGAGCAGTGACAAATAAAAAAGGCTCAATTTAAAATGCATTCTTTCCCCTTAAGAAAAGTTGCATTAATTTTATTCTGTTTCTGCAAAAGCTAGAAGAAAAAGCTTAAGTCAAATCTCTTTCAAAATAATGATTTTGTGAAATTGAAACTGTATCTGACTTAAGCACTAAATACAGCACTATGGATACAACCACGAAGTACTGAATGGGATACAGGAAGCAGGAACTCAATGATTTTGTGAAATTCAAACTGTATCTGACTTAAGCACTCATTTTGTGAAGCACTAAATACAGTGTTATGTACACTATGGATACAACCACGAAGTACTGAATGGGATACAGGAAGCAGGAACTGCTGCAGCCTCCTGAAGTCACAGGAACCATGTCAGAAACACTGCCAGGAAAATAAATGGATTACTGCAACATAACCACAGGATGTAAAGGTGAAAATAATGTGTTGAGGAACACACGCATGTTTTGCCCCATTTATTTGCACAGAACATTTCTGAGATGCTGACCTAAACACCCAGCTTTTAAGTGCCCTCTCATCCTCATGAGCATTATCTTCACCTCAGCACAGAAAGTTTACAGTCAGCTCATCACCATCCAAAAAATCCCATTTCTTTCAAGCCTGGTGTAAAAAGCAAAATACAAATGTGATTTCAAGAGAAGAAAAGAGAGAGAACTGCACTCAATGGATTCATACACTGAATTATGATCCTTATTCCAATGTTCTCAAGGAACAGCAAGAACTCCTGTGACAAACCACAGACACCTCCAGAAACTGCAGGACAAGAAATGTCAGCTGCAATTTCTGATACTTGTGGAGCAGCCAAGAGCTTTTTCTTTTCTCTTGTTTCCACTTCTGGACCAACCCTGAAAGAGCTCTCTTACTAGGGAAGCTGACATTTCTTCCATTATACACAGCTATTCTCTAGCAACAGCAGCAAAAACAAAGAAATTTTCCAGGTTCTTCCTTGGGTTTCTTCTCCCGTGAAGGAAAAACACCTTTTTTGTGGTGAACTATGCTAAGGAAAGAAATTCTTGTGTCAAGGAAAGAGATTAGGGCTGATAAAGACAACTAAAATTCTTCACTTGTACAATGAACTTCTCAGAACTTTAGCAAAGGCTTGGCAGAATCAAAGATACCAGAAAAATTGAGATAAAGTGAAGAAATATTTACTCATCGTAAATTACCGAGCACAGCAGGAAACTGGTACAGCCCCCTTATCTTTCACAACTAAATTAGTTTCTGATACAAGGAGAGAAAACAGCACAAGGCCATCTGCATCCAAGCTGAGGGCCATCTACAGATAAAAACACTGACCATGGGCTCCATTTGTTTGTTTTTAATAAAGTTTTCTGCTCAATGAAGCAGATATCTCCTATTTGCTGCCTCTAATAAGGAACACAACAAAAGCAAAGCTAAAAATCCAACACACAATGTCCTCATCTTCACCAAGTTGTTAGAGACACCCTGTGCACTTGGATCTCTCGTGTCCTTGGCAAAATGACACAACCATGACACAAGGACATTCTGCACCCATCTTCAGAAGAGTTAAATGGAGACACATGTTTGAGGTGCAGGTGTGTCAGGTGTACACATTGGAGTTCTGTGTTTGTGTGTGCAAACAACACTGTGACCCACTCCTACCCACTGAAACACTGTCTGATTGCTGCAGACCAAAGTTATTTGACAGCCCTGCAAGTAATGTAAATATAATATTAAAAAATAGTAGTTAGCTTTATTTCCAGTAGGTCTTTGTGAATAAAATTGAAGTTTATTATTTTGGGCTTAAAGTAATCCACATCAGCTCTTCTCACAGCTCTTTAAGGAGTGCAACAACTGATTACTGGAAGGCATTTTTATCACCTCCTTCACAGCAGATAATTTTCCTGCCAGTGCTTGGGCTCATGCAGGCTAATGCCTTAGAACAGCACAAAGTAGGGAGACATTTACAGAAAAAACACTAAGTGCTGTGAACTTGTCATTCATGTCATCAACACTTTCTTTCAACACTGGAGTTCTTCAAAAAGAATTTTTTTCCTAAGCATTTTTATTGACAGCCAAAACTAGCAATACTCTTTTGGAATTTCTGCATGGTCAGTCACTACCTCACTGTAATAATGTCTTTTTTACTGCCCAAGGAATACTGGTCTCAGCACTTCTTGAGCATTTAAGTGATATCCCACTACTGAAAAAGGTGCAGGAGGGCTGCCACTAACAGATGATGGTCAAGTGAAGTCAGAATGGTGCTCAACATATATTACTCAGTGAACCTTCTAACCTTCAGGAGACAAGATATTCCAGTAGGTATAAAGACTCTCTTGCAGTGTGCTAACTCCCTTTCTTAGACAAAAATTGCCTCATTTGATTGCTTTCACCTGATGAATCTGCCTAAAGTGCTCTAAAATATTTGGAAAAAAACCCACATTCACATTAAATGATAATTTAATTACTGTTAGCATTGTACATAAATGAAAAAGAACAAATGTGAGGGATTGTTGCTTACAGATTCTTCCCCTGAATGGTTAACCATGAGAAAACAAAAGCCAACCAAAACCAAAAGCACACCTGACCCCTGCATTCTGCAAACAAACGTCAGAGTGGAGAAATCGGGGTGGCCACAGCAGCAGCTCAGTGCTCTGCTGGCGTCAGTCTCCATTCAGTTTCCAGACTCCCACATTATATATACCATAGTCTAAATAAAGCACTGTTATAAACAGCTTGAGCTCATTCACTGACATTTCCTGCTTCTTCCTCTTCACAGAAAAACAAACTTTTGCCAATGATTTCATAAAAAATAAAATCAAAGTTAACAGCAGTTTTACTGCAGCGATGACAAACCGCAATTTTTCATAAAATATATAGAAAAGAAAATATGGAGAGATTTATTCCATTTAGTAAAAATGGAGATAACATCCTGCCCTTTTCTGCCACCACCTCTCTCCTGCCTTGCCCTACCTCCACTTCTACCCTATCCCCTCACCTTTGGGAGGCACTGAAGTGTATGTGTAATGAGAATGTCTCTCAGACTCACCCTTAAAGCTGTGTAATTATTCAAAGTGTCTATCAGTTCACATAAAGGGAGTTACTTGCCTATTCTACCCCATTCAGGACTAAATGAGACATATTAAAATGTGAGAACCAAGACCAGGATCTAAGTAACACTTTGTAGAAGTTAATTCTCAAGGCAGCTGTTCATGTTGGAGACCGTGATCTTGAACAGTCAAATGAAAAAAAAAATGTAGAGTTTATTTAAAGCATTTTCAAATATCAAAGCTTTGATTCCAGCAATGTATTTTTAATTCCTCTTCATAGTTTGAATCACTTAAGTCAGTGACATTTTGTAAGCTGATACAAAAGAAGTTTTTACGTATCTATGTCTTCATGTGAGATGGGCACACTAAAAATTTTGTCTTAAAACAGAAAAAATATCCAAATTAACAATGAGACCACCTAATTATGAAAAAATAGTTTAAGCAGCCTTTTTATTGTGCAAGGTTTAATCTATTCCAAGATTTCTTCCATGCTTTGAGAAACACATTGGCAAGGCTCTCTGCAAAAGCACTGCTGCTTTTAAAAACAAACATTTACAAATAGTGAGTTTTGACTGTAACACGGGGTGGTCTGGAAAGACTTCAAAAGATAATTTAGGCCATTCCTAAAGTAAAATAAAAAAATTGAGTATATGCATGTCATTCCTTACTGCTCCAGAAAAGGATCCAGTTCCCAGAAATGTGATGGAATGGTAAATATCCACTTCTGCCCTGACTCAGGTGTAAGGCATGT